CGATCCCAAGGCGAAGGCTGAAGGGGAGAGGAACATGGCTTTGTGAATAAAAACATTGTACAGTGATCGCCACAGTGGGGTGTGCGGGGGTGGATGAGGTGGGTGGATGGACTGCTTGTTTCCAGGGGACAGCTGTGTGGGGCATGGGGGTGCGGGATGGCGGGGGCACCGGGACTAGCACCTCCTCCGTGTGGACACAGCAGGCTCGCGTGTTCACTCACACACACTCACACGTGAACATCGCGGAGGGGCACAGGGCCTGGGCATTGGGCTCCACATCGGCTAGACATAAACATAGACATGCATCGCCCCCCGCAGCCCAGACCAGCACCCGAAGGCCTCTGGTCCCACCTCGGTGACCCCACCCCCAGCAGCAGTCCCATCTCACAATCAACATGAGTGCAGATGCCAGGCGGGGTGGGAGCACCCCCACCCCAGGGTGGTCTCGTGGGGCGGCCCCACCCCCACCCGCCACTGCCAGTGGGCTCTGTGGCCTAGAGGCTCCAGAAACATCCGCCCCCCAGGAAGGAGGGGCCACGCTCTGCTGCCTGGCTCCTTCCCAGCTGAGAGAATCCTGAGAGATGAACTGTTCCTGGGGGCTGTCCCCATCGCCACCCCCACAGGACTGGAGCATGGAAGCCTGAGGAGCACCCAGTTAGCGCCCACAGTGTCCAGAGGATGGGGGAGGGCATGCTGTCCAGGGAGCTTCTGGAAGCCCCAGGGTTTTGGCCACTTTGGTCAACGGCTCACCTCACTTGGTGGTTCACCAGAAGCCCCGGAGGCCAGGTGCAGGGGCTGCGACCCTCCCTGGAGGTGCCTGCTGTGGGCTGTGCCTGGGCTCGCCATGAGTGTGATGAGTGGGTGTCTGTGTGCGTGGCCGACTGACCCACATGCTGAGGTCGGCAGTTGTGTTGGCACCAAAGGCTCACAGCAGTGGGGTTCCTGCCCCAAATGTCCCCGCGGGCTGCACCCCTGCCCAGCCTGGCCCGCACTCTGCCCGCCCCGAGGCCTCCTGCCTGACCCACATGCTGAGGTCGGCAGTTGTGTTGGCACCAAAGGCTCACAGCAGTGGGGTTCCTGCCCCAAATGTCCCCGCAGGCCACACCCCTGCCCGGATCACTGGCCTTTGCCCAGTCCAGCCCTCACCCTGCCTGCCCCGAATCCCGGGGCATCACGGGGCACCCCCCGCCCCCCGGCGCTGGGTTTGGCACCGAAAGATCGCACTGCCCAGTCTCTCGTCCCCCACCTGGTCCCGGCCAGCACAGAGGGACGGGCACTAAGCATGTGTCCCCCAGCCCCCGAGGGAGAGTGGGGCCCTTCCAGGCCAGGGGGAGGGGGGTGGGACAGCTGCAATGAATGGCACAGTGACTCTTTCCTTGAGCTAAAGACGAAACAGCAGTGACGGAGGGGCGCTGGCACACAGCTGGATGCTGGCCCTTGGCGTCAGCCACAGCGGAAGCTGGGCCAGGAGGCCAGCAGGGTGGCAGGGGGGCGGTGCTGGGAGTTGAGGAGGGGGCCTGGGCACCCACAGGGTTTTGGCACGTGGGCATGTGTAGGGGTCTTCGTGGTGAACTGTCTGAGCCGGGAAGAGGCCACATTGGCGGGTGATGTGGAGAGGTAGGGCCCAGGGCCCAAGCAGGCCACCCGGCCCCGCCACCTAGATCAGGAACCTCTCCGCGTCAGGGAGGAAGGAGGGGTGGGGAGGCCGGGGGTCCTGCAGTTACCCTGCTGCAGGAAGCTTCTCGGTGGCAGGGCCGAGGAGGGAGAGGACAGGCTCTGGGCAGCCGGCCAGCCTCTCCCAACCTGGGTCAAGCCCACAGAGCCACGCAAACCCACTTTTCTTCTGTCTCCTGCGTTGTCAGACGGTTCTTCACCACTAGCGCCACCTGGGAACACCTGCTTCCTTCTGACTCCCTCCAAACGGGGACGGCTCCTGTCTGCCCTGCCTTGCCTCCCCATCACCACCCTTTTTGTCTTCTTCTCTGTGTCCTTTTCTCTATCTTCACCCTCCTCTCTTGCATATGCCCCAGCTCACGTCTTCTTAGTCTGCATCGTCACTCAGCTGCCTGATGTCCCCTGTCCCAGGGCTTCCCTCCCAGGACTTGGAGGACCCTGGATAAGCTGAAGGAGAGAAGGAATTATTACTACCCCTCAGGGTGACCCTCAGCCAGCAGTGGCTGGAGCTGGGGGATAAATATCTGGCTGCCTCCTTGCAGGCAGAGAAGTCTGAAGCCTTCTCTGCAGGGCTCCTTAGTGGACGCCAGCAGGACCATGCTCCGAGGCCTCTTTGGAGACCCACTGGGTAATGCACCCTGGGCTGGCCCTCCCTGCTTCCTTGAGCTGCTCTTCAAAGCTACTCCCTTCTGTTCCTGGGGAACTTCCCCAAGTCCACGGCCTGTGCACAAGCTCTTGTCCTGGACTCTGTTTGGGGGGAACCCAAGCCCACCACTCTCCTTCCTCTCCCTGTGCCCCATTCCCACTCAGATGGTAAAGAATCTGCCTGCAGTGCTGGAGACCTGGGTTCGATCCCTGAATTGGGAAGATCCTCTGGAGAAGGAAATGGCAGCCCACTCCAGTATTCTTGCCTGGAGATTCCCATGGACTGATGAGTCTGGCTGTCTCCTGTCCATGGGTCAAGAAGAGTCGGACACGACTGAGCGACTAGCACTTTCACTTTCACTTTCCACTTTCACGCTCACTGCTCCCCTTCCTCTCCCTGTCTCCCCCTCTGTCCTCCCCTCTAAGTACGTTCTCCTCCCTAGCCTCCCTCTAGCAGGTGGTGTGTCCCAGGTTGACCACCAGTGAGGCGTTAGAGATTCCATCCATGGACTATCCCTGGGGAGCCCGGTCTCCGCATAGAGGGAGAGGAGGGCATTAGGCTAAAGAGGAGATGGGAGGAGAGTGAACTGGGCTGGAGGTGACTCAGTGTGGAGAGAGATCTATGTGTCTCAGGGTCCTGGTCCTCACTCTGTTCCCTAAGAGAATGCTCCCCCCTGGGGCCTTTAGTCCCTGGCAGGAAACATCCATTGACTGAAGGAGTCTCCTTTCTGGGCTGCCCCCGGCTACTGTGAGTGCACTCCACACCAGCTCACCCCCAAACAGCCACATTCCGGGCAACAGGTGAAGGGATGAAGAAGTAAATTCTGGACCAGATCAGGCCTTAGCAAAATTTCCTGGAAGTTCCCAATGGCCTAGTGGTTAGGATCCCAGGCTTTCATTGCTGAGGCTAGAGTTCAATCCCTGGTTGGGGAATTCATTGAATCTACTTCTAGTGGATTATAATCTAGATCCCCAACTCACATCTTTTTTCAGCCTTTTAAAAAAATTAACAGATACTTGATTTGTAATGTTGTACTAATTTCTGCTGTGCAGCAAAATGATTCAGTTATACATGTGTTTTTTAAATTCTTTTCTGTTATGGTTTATCACAAGATATTGAATATAGTTCCCTGCACCACATACACGTGGGCCTTGTTGTTTATCCATTCTGTATATAATAGTTTGTGTCTGCTTACCCTGACCTCTCAATCCACCCCCTCCCACTGTTCCGCCCCCTTGGCAAGCCCAAGTCTGTTCTCTGCGTCTGTGAGTCTGTTGCTGTTTCCTACACAGGTTCATTTGCATCATTTTAAATTCCACATATAAGTGATGTTATATGGTATTTATCTTTCTATTTCTGATTTCACTTAGTTAATAATCTCCAAGTCCATCCACGCTGCTGCAAATGGCATTATTCTTTTTTATGGCTGAATAGCATTCCACTGTATACATGTACCACATCTTCTTTATCCTTTCGTGTTGTTGTTGATGGACATTTAGATTGTTTCCTTGTCTTGGCTATTATGAATAGTGCATAGGGGTGCACTCAAAGGGTTATGAACATAGGGGTGCATCTATCTTTTTGAATTACAGTTTTGTCTAGATAGATTCCCAAAATTGGGATTACTAAATCATAGGACAACTCTGTTTTTAGTTTTTTGAGGAACCTCTGTGGTGTTTTCCATAGTAACTGTGCCAACTCGCATTCCCACCCACAGTGTAGGAAGGTTCCCTTTTCTCCACATTGTCCCCAGCATTTATTATTTGTAGACTCTTTGATAACGGCAGTTCTGAGAAGGATGAGGTGGTACCTCACTGTAGTTTTGATTAGCATTTCTCTAATAATTAGCAATGTTGAGCATCTTTTCATGTGCATGTTGGCCATCTGTATTCAACTCACTTTCCTTATGGTCTATAAACCAATTTAATTTCTACTGTAAAGCCCCCACCTGGCAGGAAAGTCCATGTCAGTCATTGCTGAAGCTTCATTTCCCTTCCATACTCAGGACGCCCAAGTGCCTGGAAAGTTAGTATGGGGCCTATTCTCTCATGCACATCGATCTCTTGTTTACCAAAGCACAGTGGTGGACAGCAGCTGAGGTCTGTTTCCCTCTGATGCATGGAGAGAAATTTTTGCCAACACTGGACCCCCAAAGGCCTCCCACCCCACGAAGGTGGGCAGGCCACTTCCATCATGGACATCTGTACAAGGATAATGTTACTCACACCTCTTTTACCTTCCAGGCCCTCATGGTTTCTTCTCTCTCAAAGGCCGTCTCCTCTTCTTACCTTGTCCCTTCCCCTTACAATGTACATGAAATCCATTGAGTTTAGATTTTTTTTTTTAAAGGACAAGAAGAATCATTGACCTCAACCTCCTTCTGCCTTGCACCAAACCCAAATCAAGGAAACAAGAAATTACCAACCTGACAGTCTACTTGAAACGGCAGAGTAAGTTGGAGTACTATAAGAAACATAAATCAATATGTCAAAACATCATCCTGCCACTCTTTCATTCTTCAGCACCTTATGGACCTGCTTTGGAGTTAAGCACTGTGCCATCCCTGGGGACACAGACCCAGAGCTCTTCCAGGTTCAGAACTCAGCCTACCCTGACCTGGTGGGGAAGACAGACATGAGGTCACCTAACTTTAGGACTTGTGACAACATAAAGCGAGTGTGCACCCAGAGTCATGGACGCTGAGACCAGGAAGCTGCAAACATGGCCTGTGCCCAGGGAGGACTCAGCTGAAGAAGACTTCTGAGCCAAGACTCTGAGAATGAAGAGAATTTGCAGCATCAAGAAGATGAGTTAAGTCTTCTAGGCAGATGTCAAAAAGAACCAAGCCATTCTGGGAATGAGTGGGCTTGGGGTCAGAGTGCTCATTTGGGAATGATGAGGGCAACAGCGAAAGAGGAGTTTAGAAAAAAGAACAGTCCCCGAGGAAGACTTATTTGTAAGATGGGCTGAGATGGTTTTTCCTTTCCTTTTTCTTGCTAGGATAGGGGTAGAGGTGCAATAAATAGCCCTCTCTTCCTCTCCTCAAATAAAAAGTTTGGAACCAATTGAAAAATAAGACACAGAAAAGAGGTGAACATTTAAATGTCAACTTTATGATAAATAAAAGCTAGACAGGAGGACACAGTAAAATGTGCAGGCCACACAGCCTTCACGGCCACTGTAGACGGTATTCACCCAGCTGCAGACAGACTCGATAACCTCAGACCTTCCCCCAAGTAGTGGATTTACCTCCTGGTGAGCAGCCCAGAATACAGTCCCTTTGCAAGCGGGCAGGCCCTACAGAGTATTTATTAATTCACTAGGACTGAAGTACCACAGCCTGGTGACTGGTATTACAAGTATTACTTGTATACAGCAGACATATGTTTCCTCATAGTTCTAGAGTCTAAATTCCAAGACCAAGGTGTCAGCTGGTTCAGTTTCTTCTGGAACTTACAGCCAGCCTCCTCCCTGCTGTCTTCACGTGGTCACCCCTCCGTCTGTATTGTCTGTGTCCTAATCTCCTCCTCTAAGGACACCAATTTAACTTTATTGTTGTTGTTTAGTCACTAATTCATGTGCTACTCTTTGCGACCCCATGGACTCCAGCCCGCCCAGCTCCTCCATCCATGGGATTCCCCACATCACACCCACATCCCTCTGTGGGTGCTCACATTATTATCATTTTCTGAAATAAAGCACTACCTCACATTTATGTAGAAACCAAACTTTTCGTAACACTGTCACATCAAAATCAAACCATGAGGGACTTCCCTGGTGTTCCAGTGGTTGATAATCTACCTTCCAATGCTGAAGACACAATGAGATCAGTCCCTGATCCGGGAGCTCAGATCCCACATGCCATGGGGCAACTAAACCCAAGCGCTGCAACTAGAGAATCCTGTGTGCCACAGCAAAGACCGAGTGCAGTCAAAATTTTAAAAATTAAAATAAATAAATTTTTTAAATTAAAAAATAAAAAAATTTTAGTTAAAAAATAACATGAAAAAAAAGTAGGAGAGTTTTCAGAAATCACCTAACCATACTCATTCCTTTTACAGATGAAAGAACCCAGGCCTGATTGCAGTCCAGCCAAGGGTCATGCAATTAATTAGCAGTCACCTGTGACCACTTGTGATTCATTTGACTTTACAGTCCCTAGCTCAAGATTTTCTACCATCTTTATACCCACTTCTCTGCAGGACCTATGCTGAAGATCAGCACAACTGTTTGAAAAGGAAATTGAAGTGAAAGAGATCCTGAGCTGCTAACTGCTCTGAATGGACTCAAGTGACTTGGCCTAAAACGTGTGTTTGTTTACATTTGCATTGCCCAGTGCTCAGCGTGGGTGCCACCGTCAGCAGGTACTCCGTTCGCATTAGCTGCCTGCAGGCATGAATGCTTGAAGAGCCAGAAGACTGGAGACAGGAAGTGTTTTTTTCCATAAGTGGGTGAAGAGGGATTCTTCAAACAATACAGCCCTGAACTTGGCATTGATCTAGGCTTCTGCTGGGCTTGTACTCTGACACCTCTCCCCATCCTGCAAGCATCTTTCAAGGTCATCTCGGCTTCTTTCCTCTCCTCCATCCCTATATCAAATTTGTTTCCAAGTTCTCTCATATCTCCTTCTTTTCCATCTCTGTTGCCGCATCCTGGCCTAGGCCCTTATCACGTCAGTGCTGGTCTGGACTCACATGTCTGGCAGGGTTGAGCACAGAGGCCCACGCGGCAGCTAGGAGGCTATCTAAGCGGATCAGCCTGCAGTGGACGCTTGTTTCGTGTTCCCTCCCCCTCCTCAGCCTGTGGCTTCCTTCTTATAGGCTCCCCTCATATGTACCCCCCCACCGCCTCCTTCTTCCAACCAGCTCCCCGCTCCCCACTCCCCAGCTTTTCAAGTTTTCTCTACCACCTCACCTGTGCCCACCCCTCCCCCAACCCCTGCCTCAGGTTTCAATTAACCAGCTGCCCATAGAAAGATTCCAGCAAATTTATTCTCCCTAAAATAGAAGTGACCCATAACAAGGCTTAATGAGATCATCCCCCAAGGAATTTCATAAGGGACCGTCCCTTCAGCCAGTGAAATGAGATGTCAGCTGGGTCTCAGGGCGTCTTCGCAGAGTGAAGTTTGCTGTGCCGCCCCTGGGGCACGTCGGTGGTCCGGGGCCCCCCCGACAGGCACAGGAGTGTGGAAAGCAGGGACACGTGGCCTGGGGGCTCGGTGAGAGGACACGGAAGCACAAGATCACCCTCTCCAGAGGTTTGCCAAGAGCTCACAGGAAACCTGACGCCCGCCCTGACTCAGCTCGCTGTGAGCTCCCTGACCTGTGCACCAGCCCAAGAGCTGTCTCGAGAAGAAGATGGCTGGGAATGGATCTTTCGCCCCTCCTAAACTGCTAGAGATGGGGCAGTGTTTAGGGTGGTGTGGAGCTCCCCTGACAGAGCAGGGAAAAGAGGATGCTTGTTTTCCCTGCTTTTGAAAGACAATCGCCTCTGTAAGCAGGAGCGGTGCCAGCTGCAGGCGGTGTCCAGCCCAGGAGACGGTGGGTCACTGGGCACTCAGGGGGAGTTCTTGGCTGTCTGCATTTTTCTCTGCGTGTGCACTTTATTGGCGCCCATGGCCCCCTGCCCCTTGTCTCCTTACCCGCTGGAGGACTGTTCTCCCTTCTCTGCCAAAACCAAAGCACCCAGAATCTCAGAGGGTCTCCAAAAGCTGGATCCAGAAAGACTCGTAGATGTGACCTTAGTCTACGCATTTCCCCTGTTTATGGGAGAGCAGCTGGAGCCCAGGGAGATTAAGGACTGCCTGCAGTGTGCTAGGTCTCTGTGTTGCATAACCAACAGCCACAATACGGTGGATGTAGACAGCACACGCTTATTAGCTCAGTTTCCTTGGGTCAGGAGCCTGACCTTGACTTAGTAGGTTCTGTGCCTCGGCCATGTGATATATTGAAATCAAGGTTTCAGCTGGGCTGCCATCTCATCAGGGTCTCGAGTGGGGAAAGATCTGTTTTCAAGCTCCCTCGGGCTACTGGCAGAATTCTTCTCCCTGCGGTAGCAGGACTGAGGTCTTTGTTTTCTTGCTGGTAGTCAGCCAAGTGTTCTCAGTGACTAAAAGCTGCCCACAGTTCCTCACCAAGGGCCTCTCCGTAGGTCCTCTCACAGCATTGAAATTTCTTCAAAGCCAACACGTGAGAGAGCCTTGGCCTCAGGGAAGAACTGCAGTCCTTCTTTTGAAGCTTTTACCTGATTAAGCCAGGCCCACTTATATTCATTTCCTCTTTGATTAAATAAAAATCAGTCAATTTGGGATCTTAATTACATCCTCAAAATCTCTTCACCTTTGCCATATTCTGTTAGATGCAAGACACATGTCCTGCCCATGATCAAAGGGCAGGGATTGTCCCAACCCAGGGATCGAACCAAGGTCTCCTGCATTGCAGGCAGATTCTTTCCCAGCTGAGCCACGGAGAAGCAGGGGTAAATGCAGGAAACATGAAGCTTAGGGTCACCACATCACCACATGTCCCACAGCTAGATAAAAGTAGAGTTAAGATATAGAACCTAGGTTTCATATAGAAACAGGTTTCAAGGGTCAGTTATGTTTCAGAATTCAGACTGTTCTAGAAAGACAGACAGTTACACCATAGACTCACAACATCCTTGGTGCAGTCTGGGATGGCACTCTATAATCACTATAGATTTCTGTAGTGAAATATATGATTACTCATACTTAGTGGTACATGTAGACCAAAATTAGCTGCATGGTGGTTCAGGTGAGGTTTTGCTGCCAAATAAGCTTAGGTCAGATTAGGTTTTGCCCAATGAATTATGAAGGACTTTCGGGTTTTTAAAGCTTTGGGACTTTGGAAATTCCATTAAAGGACTGTGGACATCTAATAACTAATACCCATTGAGTTCTTGCTCACAACAGATTTGGGCTAAGTCTTGTGCATTCTCAGAATCCTGTGAAGGGAGATATTTTCAAGATGTCAATCATTTTCCTCTCCTTGCCTTCTTCTCATTCAAGTGAGCGCTGCATTCACTGAGTTGGGGGTGGGAGTGTTACCAAACTGATTAACCGGATCTACTCTGGAGTTCTAGCCCAAGCTGAGACCCCTTATCTCATCCAGGCAGGTTCTTTTTCAATTGACTTTGTGCAGCCAATAAAAAAAAAATGAAGACTGGAATAGCACAAGCTTTATTCAGTGGCCAATGAATGGAGAGGCAGGAGCCTGGTTCACAAATCAACCTCTCAACATGGTTAGGGCCGTGACACCAAATATACAGTATAGGAGGATAGAGTAAAAGGGAGGGATTTGGAAAGAGTCGGAGGAATGTTCATGAGTTAGCTGAGCTTTTCTACTTGTTGTCAAGGCAACTGTCAGCTGTCATCACACCTGTGGGTGTGTCATTTAGATTCTTTTTTTTTTTCAGTATTTATGTATTTGGTTGCTCTGGGATTTAGTTGCAGCACGCAGGATCTTCAGCTGCAGCGTGTGGGATCTAGTTCCCTGATCAGGGATAGAACCTGAGCCCCCTGCAGAGGGAGCACAGAGTCTTGGCCACTGGACCACCAGGGAAGTCCTTGTCGTTCAGATTCTAATGCACTAGGAAGAGTGTTTACCGAGGCTCAAGGTCCGCTGCAAGTCAGTTCTTCCGTCATCTTGGGCCTGGTTGGTTCTAAATTGTTTTTTCTCTTTGCAGCTTCTTCCTGAGACTTAGATAAGAGCAAGCAGTCTTTATCTGAGGGAGGGCAGGGTCTGACTTTGGGGCAGCAGCCTTGGTAGCGGGGGAGGCTGGATGGGGTAGGAGCCTGGGAGTTTCTCCAGCTTCTGTGTCACCAAAGCTGTCCCAGCCCCAAAGGGGAGGAGATGTGGGGCTTTGATGAAACACCTGGACAAGCGAAACCCCAAATAAGACAAATCAAAACACTGGAAATAGATGCCGCACCTGAGGCTAGGGAGAGGACAGATTTGGAGCTCCTGGAATCACAGGTCTGCTGGCAGGACCCCAAGGGCGAGGGCCCAGGCTGCGTCTAGAGAAGCTGGGGCCCAGGGTGGCCTCTGCTTCTGGAGCGGACGGGCGGCTTCTGACAGGACACTGTTTGGCTCCGGCTGTCCTTCCTGCTCTCTCATAACGTGTGCAAATGAGACCTTGCTTTGTAACCAGAACGCTTTCGTCCTGCCAGATACTGACCCCACTGCTGAATAGACAGTGCCCAGTAAGCGCTCACTCGCTGATTTTTCAGGGAGGACTTGAAAGGTGGGAGGGGTGGGGGGTGCTCCAGACCCCTCCCTCCAGGGTAACCGCTAACTTTGTGGTTCACTCCCTCAGAAGTGTTTGATTTAGGTGATCTGCTGATCTGCTTCGTTACACCTAGGTCAGGTTTCATTACATCATCCTCCACTCAAGGCGCCAGAGCCTCCTGGCAAATTGGTGCAATCCGCAGGCCTGAAGTGGGGCAGTGCTGCGCTGTGTCCCCATAGGAGTGAATCCCACCATGTGATTTTTGCCTCTGGCCCCAGAACCCCAGGGATAGCCTTTCAAGGAAAGGGTTTGTTCTTTTTCTTCTCCTTTGAAAGTATTTTTAAAATATGACTGCCCCCTGGTGGTTAAAATTATATATGTAAATACCAGTATGTAAATAGGGGCTCAATAAAGGACAGAAAACGTCTGGACCTAACAGAAGCCAAAGATATTAAGAAGAGGTGGCAAGAATACATAGAAGAACGGTACAAAAAAGATCTTCACTCACCAGCCCAGGTTGGGTGCATGAGACAAGTGCTTGGGCCTGGTGCACTGGGAAGACCCAGAGGGATCGGGTGGAGAGGGAGGTGGGAGGGGGGACCGGGATGGGGAATACATGTAAATCCATGGCTAATTCATTTCAATGTATGACAAAAAC